TTAAGTTTCCTTTAATCTGAAACTATAGGAACTGCAACACTTCTACGACACCCTGGTCATAACGTATATAATAGTGACAGCAGCAACAACAGCAGCCGTGAATTCAACACCTACTATGTGCTGGGACTTGCTCACTCGCTATCTCTACTTCTCATAACAAAACTGAAAGGCAAATATTACGATACATGCCAACTTCCTACAAAATAAGGAAACCGAGGCACAGAGGCTGGGAGGTCCCAGGCCACATACGGGGTACCTGAAAAAACTCAGCTGAGTCCACATCAGGAGGATCGTCATGCGGCTGTCATCTCCAAAGTACAGGAGCACCAGCATCCCAGATTTACTCAGTGTCAAAGACAGAATCTGTGAAAGGAAGATTCTGGGTTTCTGGAGACAAACATGGCCCCGGGTTTATTCAGCACAGACAAAACCCTGGCATCCATGACCTAACTGCTGGAGCTCATGAGCTGGAGAGAGGTGGCAGGACCTGCCCACTGGCTAGAAGAAGACACTGAGGTACAAAGAGGTGACCTGTCCAAGGCCACCTTGCAAATGAGGGGCAGAGCTGGGATTCAAAAGCAGGTTTTCAACCTCCAAATTAGTGTGCCATCCAAAACATCAAACAGGGCCTACCCCAGCAAATCATGCTCTGCTTTGAAACCTTTAAACACCGCCCTGGGCTCCTGCAGCAGGAAGAGGTCAGGACAGGGTGGGCCAGGGTGGGGCTGGGCTGGGAGTTCCGCCAGACCAAGTGGGCCTGGCCGGGACGGGAAGTCCGGTGGCCTGAGGTCAGTGGAATTCGAGAAGTCACTGAAGGCCATTCCACAGGGTGGGTCCAAGCAGGAGAAGGGTCAAGTGAGAAAGGTCAGCCACTGCCAGGTCTGGCCTTGTTCTGCCCAATACCGCAAAGCTACCCTTGGCTGTCAGTTCGGTTGTATGAGCAAGGGTCCCCCCCCCGGGGGGCTAATGGGGGAGGAACAGGATTGTCCCAGCACCCTACGTCGCATCCAGCTGACCCGACAGCCACCACTGGGACTTGACAAATAAATGAAGCTAAACCCTGCCAAATAAATCGTCGCTGTAATTCTGTTTCCTGTGTGCATAGATTTTTTCCCTCTGCGAGCCACTGATATGCCGGGTCCTGTAGATGCAGCGAACAGACCCGACACCCAGGTCAAGCTCCTTCCACATCAGCAGGAGAACAGCAGGCGACCCACAGGGAAACACTTCAGCTCAGGGTGAGGGAAGTCTCCAGGGATGGGGCTGGCTGGTTCTACTAGGTGGTGTGTCCTCTCACGCTGCCCCGTCACGACAGAAAGGCTTGTGTTGTCTGTGCCCTGACTCATCGTGGCTACGGGACAGCAGGAAACCATCCCACCTCCCACCTCCTAGGCCTTCGCACCGCAGGAAAGCACCCCTCGAGCGCAGCCTGCATTTCCACAGGGATGGACAGGGAAGGAAGGCAGGGCAGCTCCGGACCCCTCCTCAGGACTCTGTTCACCTCTTGCCCCTCTGATCCTTTGATCTTTACAGATGAAGAAATGGGGAGGAAATGTCCTTCTCCCAAGTTCTAGAACATGTTGGTGGTGTGACCCTGGTCCCAAAGGATCCCCTGGCCCCGAGTCAGTTGATTCAGCTTCTCAGAGAAGGTTCTGCAGGCAACGTACCGCTGCTCCGAGGGCCCACCCAGCCTGGATTCTTCCAGGAAGGAAGAGCCAGGTGCACCTTGAGGAGCTGCCCCACCCTTGCTGCTTAGGCGGACTCAGAGTCCAGAACATTCCTACCCATGCACCATTGGCAGGGCAGGAGCCGGGCTCGGGCCGGTCCCTATGACCCCACCGACCCAGCGAGCACTGGGAGCAGCAGTGCAGCCCTGGGCCAGACAGGGATTCCACTTGGCAGAGTCCTGAACTGGGGCTCACCCAGATGGCCCAGGCACATACCACACACGTTCCGTCAGCCAGAAAATCTGGGCTCTTGCTCTGGGTCACACCACCAACATGTTCTAGAACTTGGGAGAAGGACATTTCCTCCCCATTTCTTCATCTGTAGAGATCAAAGGGCTGAGTTTAATTCTGCCTCTTACCCACCCCTCCTTGATCCCATTGCTTGGGTCCTTGTCCCTGTCAGCATCCTGAAGTCGATACCCATGCCCAGGCCATCCTGCACATACACTTCCAGAATCACGACCAGACCCCGTCCCACCCTGTCTCGAAAACAAAACAAAACAAAACAAAAAACCCTTCAATGGCTCCTCTTGGATTTCAGGTCAAGTTCAAGGTCATGGGCATGCATCCAGGCCCTAGGCCTTTTCTTGCCTCTTCATTCTCATCTCTGATCCCCCACAGTGCTGTCCACCAGCACGCCCCTCCCTGCCCAGGGCTCATTCTTGTCTCTTGGCCTTTACTCACACTTTCTGAACATCCTTCTACTTCACTCAGACCGACCCGAGAAGGAGCCCATCTCCTCCTGACACGCTCATTCTCTACACCCCATTCTGCCATTAGGACATTTTCTTTCTGCTCCCAGAGAGTTCTTTAATGTACACCCATTCTCTGTAACATGGTATGAAAAATAACTATTACACTATGTCTTCCATTAGAAAAGGATTCTCCAGAGGTGATTCTCGTACCCTCAATACCTTGCGCCGAACATAGCACGTAATAGATGCTTAATAAATATTTGCAACATAGTGTGGATCCCATGTCGAAGATGCCCCCGGCTGCAACATGCTGCCTAGAGTTCAGGGTATCTGGGCGTGATTCTGCTTAAGAATTGCACTCTCTCAAGTCCAAAGAAATTTCAAATAGGCTTGACTCTATTTCATGCTTTAGAGAAACTCCTGAGAGTCCCAGATAAAGGGCATTTAAAATGTGTTTCCATCCACTGCCTTCTGCCATCAACATATCTAGGGGATTTTTCTTATAATATTTATGCCTCCAGGGCAGCATAAGGGGCTACTCACACACCCATTTAGTCAATTGCCAGACATTCACGAAGTATTTACAAGGCTAGTCCTGTGCTAGGTAGGGAAGACAGAAAGAGAATTGGACCCCACTTTACAGTTCCGCAGAGAAAACAAAACCCACTCCATAAAATGGAAACACAGGGCATCACAGGACTGCCCGTGGGGTTGGTTAACTGGTGGCCCATGACCCCTTAGAGAAAAGGAAGTACTGAGCTTCAGTACTCAGTGCTGGTCAGGTCCTCCTGGGGTTCACTTGTTGCCCAATTGCGTGAGAAAATTCCTTCTATGGATCGGACACAAGGGGTGGTATTTTACCTGGTGTCTACTTCCTAGAGCCAGAGTGGTATTTGAAGGCCTAGGCACGGGACTCCAGTGTCCTGGGCGCAGACCCCCAGGACTGCCAATGATTAGCTGTGAGGCCCTGAGCCTCAACTTCCTCATCCATAACATGGTGAGAATAGCACTAGTTTACTCACTGGTTTTAAACTGGTTGATGTAAATACAGTAGTTAAGTAGGATTAAATCAGTTTTCCTTTTTTTTAAAAGATTGTATTTATTTATTTGAGACAGAGAGAATGAGAGAGAGAGCACATGAGAGGGGGGAGGGTCAGAGGGAGAAGCAGACTCCCTGCCGAGCAGGGAGCCCGATGCGGGACTCGATCCAGGGACTCCAGGATCATGACCTGAGCCGAAGGCAGTCGCTTAACCAACTGAGCCACCCAGGCGCCCCAAATCAGTTTTCCTTTAAGTGTCGTAGTTAGAACAGGGCCTGGTCCATGGTGGAAGCCAGATAATATTTCACTGAAACGTAAGTCCCGTGAGGGAAGGGTTCCGTCTCATCGGGTACTGCAGGATACGCAGAGCCTAGAACAGTGCCTGGCACATGACAGATGCTCAATACTATTTGTCGAATAAATAAATGAATCTCCAGGTTGTTGGGTGATGAGGGCCAAAGCCAATGGCTGATCATCAAGAGCAGTCATGACAGGTGCCTTTTTAAGGCTCTGCAGTGCAGCAGGGACCCTGCTGGATACTCTAAGTTCATGATCTCTGACCCACGTCAGAGAAGGTAGGCCAAGGTCAAATGGCTCAGTGAAGGAGTAGGAGACCCTACTGCTGTGCCCTTGGCTCTGCTTGCCCAGGGTCTCAGTCTAGCCCATCAGCTAATTTATTAAGCACAAACAGGAAACAGCTCGGCCAGAAATCCCATTTCTAAACAAAGAACCCTGAGGGTGCTCTCCCTTCTATGATTAGGGAAGTCCTTCATAAATGAAAATAACCCCACCACAGACACTGATAACAGTGTCTTAAATGTCACTTCTGCATAAATCATTAAATCAAAATGGGAACGACGGGTTAATTTCTCATTCGATGCAGAACGCTGAAGGAGCTCTTTTTGAAAAGGTGTCTACGTGGGAGATTTATACATTTTAGTCTTCCAGGGCCCCCACTCTGGGCAGTGTCCTAGAGGCCAACGATCCATACTTACTCCCACTTCTCTCATTCTGTCATGAGAATCCAATCTGAGATGCATACACTCAGTGAGGGAGATCTTCATTCATTCAATGCCACTGTGTTCCCACAGCAGGGACCACAAGACAGCCTCTGTCCCCAAGAATCTCCCAGCCCAGCAGGAGATGAGGCATGAGGACAGTCGAGGGGTGCACATGGACGATTCGAGTAGAGGGGAGACTAGCAGTGTGCTATGGGAGGGGGATCACTTACCCATCCAGGGAGAAGTGGGGGAGTAAGCCTCCCCCAAGGGTTGGCAGTGCCAGAAGCACAGAGAAGTGGCCAACATAAAGAAGGGAATTCCAGCTCTGTCTCCTTCAAAGCAAAAAGGTCAGGTCTTTTGCTAAAATACAATGAGCCTACAACTTCACGTGAATCGCTGTTGGTGAAAGAAGGCAGGGTCTGGTCTCCAGTCTGGGCTCTCTATTTTGTTAGCTATTAAAGCCTCAGTGGAGGCTGAAGATCTACAAGAAGAGCCAGTACAGAAACTAAGCTGAGGAGAGAGAGAAGGTGTGCAGACCTCAGCTGGTGGGAGGAGGGAAAAGGCCTCCACCACACCGGAGACGCAGGTCCCGTGCCTGGGCAGATGGTGGCCGGTGACACTGAGAGGCCCAGGGCTGCTGGGTTTCCACAAAGGGTCCGGCCTCCCTCCTGCAGAAGCAGGCACTGTTCAGCTTCCACAAAGCAGAGGAAATGCAACTTGTGACGTCAAAGAGATAAAAATCTTCTAACCAAAGAAGAAACACGTACAGAGGCATGTTTCTCTATTCATGGGGGGTTATTTCTGCGCAGGGAAATGTCAATACTGAATCGAGGTTGGGGGTAGGGGGCAGTGGGCGGCGGGCAGGGGGTGGCAAGGAGCCTGGTCCCAAGGGAGAAGAGAAAGCAAACTGGCCAAACGGGCCACTATAGGAACACTGGCTCGCTCCCGGGGCAGCCTGAGGTTGCACCTGCTTCCTGGGCTCTTCACATCCTGACTCAGCAAGCTGCCCTATGTCACCCGGGGCGCCAGACACTACGTGCACAGGAGGTGAAGACGGTGGGAGCTACCACTTGTCCGTAGCTGATTATGTGCCAAGCTCTGGGTTCACCTGCATTCATTCATTTAGTTTCATGAGGAAAGTCTTCTGGATATTTCCACTCTGCAGATGAGGTAATCTGGACAAAAGAGGTTATGCAACTTGTCAAGATTAAGTTTGCTAATCAGTGCAGGAGCAGGGCCTAGAATCCAGACAGTGACTCATCCTCCACATGGGAGTAACGGGTCTTCTCCCAAAGCTCAGGCCTTCCCTTAGAGGCTCAAAGTGAAACTGGGGGCCTCCTGGAAGATCTGCTGGCCAGGCAGATCAGCCCACTACCACAGCAGGGAGGGGGAGGCTGGGGGACCTGGGCACTGCCCTCTATCAGATTCAGGGCCCCTTCCCACACACGGCCCCTCCCACTCTATAGCCCACCTCTGATTTTACTACGGGAACAAACTGTGGATGCAAAGGGTGTGTCCACGCTGAGTACAATCAGGGTAGGGCTTTAACTTCCTCAGAAAGAAAAAAAAAATCACCTTAGTTCTGCTCTGCAGAAACGTCCCAGGGATGGAGGAGAAGCAGCAGTGCAAGGCTGGGAACACCGGGGCCAGTTCAGGCCCAGGAAGTGGGGTCCTTCACTCCCTGCATGCGCCTGGTGTCCGCCTTCCCCTGCGTACATCTGGTCGACCTTCTGGCCTTTCTGAGCCTGGTGCTTGCCCTGTCAGTCACCCTTCTAGCACTGATCCAATATTGTAGTTAAACAAGAAAGGAGGATGTGGCTTAAATCTGAACCCTCGCATCACAAGAGTTCCACTCCTCGTGAAATGGCTGCCCAAGAGGTGGAGCACATTCTCCAAGAGCCTCCCGCACCCTGGGAACGGCTGGTCGAAAATGGCACCACTTTATCAATGACTTTAGGACCGGCGGGCTATAGTGAGCACCTGCCCCACCCTGTGCACCTCTGGGTCATTCACTGGGCTCTCACAATCACCCACAGGGATGCAGTCCTAATTTCTGCTAGGAGGAATCTGCAGCTCAGAGGCATTAAAGGACTCATCCAAGACCAGGTAGCTAATGAGGGGTAGAGACAGAATCCGAATCTAGAATCCAGATCAAAATAAAACGGAAGCAAAGGAAATCGGCGGTGCTACTAATTCAACACAGAGGCAGAAGGCACACTGGTATCAGGCCCTCACGTAACACGGGGTGTCATGCGTGTTATCATGTCTTCACGCTGCTCATGGGAAACTGGACTGATGGACCTGGTCATTCTACCAAGAACACATTCATGGGCGGTCAGGATTCAGTTACAGATGGTCCAGTATCAGAAATCCATGCATAAAGAGTCAGCACACGGGCCGGTCTTATTCTGAACCTGGTGGGGCTCAGCCAACTTCACTATGTAATTTTTTCACCTTCAGTTCCTTGCAAGAGCATCAGACAAAAAGGTGCACATCCTTGAGAGAGAGAAGACCATGCACAAAAGTGTGGTCTGGTGATTTGAAGCTTAATAAAGTAGTGCTTCCAAAAGCCTCTTCTGTGTTTCCCCCCTCCAAAAAACCAATGCATAAAGGGCCAGAAAACAGACACAGACTCCATCCTTCAACGTTTCAAAAGCCTTTCAAATTCAACCCATTGTTTTCTCACACGCTGGGTGTTGTCAGGAGAGACACAGACTCTAGTCCTATTGAAATACCTATTGATGAGGTCTTGCTGATTAGGATGGATGGTGGGGGCTGCCAGCCCAGCGAGGTCCCAGACTGCTGTCCCCCTCAAAACACAGGCAGGTTCCTTCACACAAGCCACTGTGTGGACCAACAAAGAGAAACTGCCACGAAACTCAATGGCTGCAGGGACACACGGAGGGAGAAATAATCTGAGTGACAAAACCAGAGTCTCCTACTCTGAAATCGAAGACGTTCAAAGGCAAAACAACAAGGAGGAAGTCTACAAGGCATTATCCCTCTTTCACAAAAAGTTGACAGATGGCTGGGGGAAAAGTTCCTATCAGCTACTGATGAGAACATTTGGAAGGTCCTTGAAAATGAGAGTGACCTTCTCAGAGCTGCCCAGAGACACTTGTCATGCTAGGAACAGCCAAGTCCTCCGGGACTTCAGCGTGGTGGGGGGGCAGGGAAAGAGCTCTGGACTGAAAGGATAGGATTTCCAGGCCGGCTCCATCGACATGCATGCTGTATGACCGTAAGCAAGGTCACTTAACTCCTGTGCAACCCAGTCACCTCGCCCGTCGGATGAGGAGCTATCATTCTCCCTGCTGGTCCCGCAGGGAGGCAGGGCTGCATGGGCTCACGTGCCGTCAGACATGCCGGGGACAGATGACGAGCAGCTTCCTCCCTGTCACTGACGCTTCCTTTTTCAGAAGGAAAATGCTCTCTAAAGTTAAAAAGGATTTCGCTTTGACATGCTTACTCCAGTGAAGTCTTCTGGTTTCACATTCATACAGGATACTTCTTTCTAGATCTTTCTAGAAAGGGTCATACTCGTTTGCAAAAGTCAAACACAGCTCCAAACTCAGTGCCAGAGACTCAAAGTCCTTGTGTTGGAAGCCTCCGACATCTTGGGATTTCTTCTCTAGGCCCTGGGACATCAAGGATTTCAGCTTTGCCACCATCTACTCCTGGGCACTCTTAACTCAACTTCCCATAAAGGACAAGACAGGCCTGGAGGAAAAGGCCTTCAACAGCAAATGTGAGGTCTGACTCAGCCCCTTATTTGCTTCTAGCTAACTGTGGGCCCTGGGGCCGGCACCCTCACCCCTGCTGTTCTGATTCCAGGCAGCAACAGGAGAAAACTGAAGGATGGGCCCTCTGGAGACCCTGGAGTTCACTTGTGCTCCCATGTTCTGTGACCTAAGGATGTCCACCCTACTATGACTCACTTCATAAATATGTATTTACCATGTGTGTGCTGTCCCTGGACGCACCACCCCGTAAACTCACTGGTACCTGAAATTCCTCTGGAAAGAGACACAATCGAAGGGGACGTTTAAAAACTTGGATCCCCATGAGAGAGGGCATTCATCGCCCTTACTCCCTGTGGCAGGCAAGTGAATTTGTTGAGATCTGATTTAATAGAGAATATGTCCTTACTTCTGCTCTTTCTTATCTATAGCTTTGAGACCTCACACAAGATTTTGGAGTCCTCCTCCATAAAATGAACATGATGATCCCCACCCTACCCCCATTTGCAGAGAGAAGTAAGTAAGGTTAACAATAACCTAATAATAAGACCTTAAAGTGCTCCCAAACAATCACCTCTTATTTTTGTAGTTAGAGTTATTACATTTCCAAGAAAGGTGGAATGCAGAAGGACAAAGAAAGTATCTTTGTCAGTATTCTGCTGGGGGTCACGTATATATTTAACTTCCAGTGAGAATATTCAAAGAAGCACACACCTGATGTTATAACTCAGAAAGACCTCAGAACCAATAAGACAGAGCCAGGACAATAAAAGGATAAGAAACTTGAGGCCAGGAGGAAGGGACCAAACTAAAAGGTCACAGAGGATATTAAAGGTGAAACCAGAGTAATAACTTGAGTCTCCAGGCTCCAAGGGCAGATGCATCTGAGCTGAAGAAGAGAATATGTGTCACCCCACACTCGAGATCTTAGAATAGCTCCCTCTTGTTCCATTTGTTAGTAAGGGTCAAGACCATGCACTATCAAAAACCAGGCTATTAGCTACCACGAATGCCTAAGATACCTATTTATGGGGAAAAAATATGGAACAATAACCAATCTCTGTGGCCAGTGGCCCTCAGCACTTTGTATACTCAGCTGCATTATAAATTGTCATCAGGGGCACCTGGGTGGCTCAGTCAGTAAGCACCTGCCTTCGGCTCTCAGGTCATGATCCCAGAGTCCTGGGATCGAGCCCCGCATCGGGCTCCCTGCTCGGCGGGAAGCCTGCTTCTCCCTCTCCCACTCCCCCCGCTTGTGCTCCTGCTCTCGCGATCTCTCTCTCTGTCAAATAAATAAATAAAATCTTAAAATATATATATATATATATATATATA